TATTACTCAGTTTATAATTTCCTTTCACAAACTCATTCTCTATCTTTGAAGTGTACTTGATGTTATTGAAAATTAAAACTCCCTGATGCAGTCGTCGCCGCTTGCCAGGGTGGATGCTATTTTAGGGTTGTGTGGAATTTACATAAATGCTGGTCAGTGACCAGTAAAGACATGTTACCCTCTTATGGTTGACTGGGCAGATAAGGCCTAATCACTCCATAGAGACTTTGAAGGAGAAAGAAATTACAGGGTATGTTGAATTGCACATTGAAATGAGTCCACTTTTATGTAAAATACTTCTAATAATAAATGCACCAAATTATGCATGCAGCTCAGGTTTTTTTTAAATAAATGTCATAGTTCGACATAGTTAATGTGACTCCTCCAGAGCTTTTCAAAGCCTGTAGATGCCACCTTTGTTTTTAAGAGAATACTGTTGAAACCAGTTGAATGTAACCTGACTGTGGTAGATGGTTTGGGAAGTCGTTGTTTGGAAAAGGACAGGCACTTTCAAAAACATACCTGGAAGGTGATTGAATTAAACCATCTGTTTATCACCGTCTAACCTGGGCGAACTTTAACTTGTCAGATCGACGGACCTAACACATTGTCACTCCCAACTCTTCAAATACTGCCACCTGGTCAGAGTATGACACAGGTACCCCTCTCACTTCATTTCTGGATGTGCAGGGCTCCGTTGTCAGTTTAGAGAAAATAAATACTGTATGTAATGTTCTCTACTTCAGGTCAAGTTAGAAATAATAAATATGCAATGTCCAGTTTCACTTTCAAGATAAAGCTTGTGTGGTTACCATGGTAAAAGGCACAAAAATTACTTTAGGATAAGGATTAGGATTAGTTAAGTATTGTAATTTACATAATGCACCTGACGTAACTTACATTCTTTACTTAAAAGAAATGGTTTACTTTTGGTTTCACACGGAACACCGATTGGTCTGGTCCTGTGACCCATCCATCCATTTTTTATGGTGCTTTCAACCGAAGCACTGATGGCAGTGAACTACAATGCAAAGGAACTGGCCGGGAGCAATGTGAGGTTCAGCGTCTTGCTCAAGGACACTAAGGCATGACAGGAGGAGGTGGGGATTGATCTGCCAACCCTGCGATCAGTAAACAAACTGCTCTACCTTCTGATCCACAGCCGCCCCGGCTACTTTACCATAAAATGGTATGAATATTTTGCCTCGTTCATTTTACGACTGTCAACAACTATGTGTCATTAAAAATATGATTTTAATCTTTATTTGAATAAAGCAGGGCCATAGCCTGGATATTATACAGACTGAGGCCTCTGGGACACATTTTGACTCAATGTTTCACTGACTGACTGAGACTGAAATAAAGACCATACAGGCGTGTTTTATAACCAGAAATATCATACAAATCTTTTGTTTTGCTCATGTAAAGTGAAAAGGTTTTGGGGCTTTTACTTTGTAGGTGTGACAGCTAAGCCATAGCATCACTATTTTCCTCTTTTTTAAGAAAGCTTGACTTGTCTTATCTGTGTACTCTAACAAGTAAAAATAACATTGCGAAAATAGATGGTAAACCAAAATAGCAGAATAATCTTGACTTAAAGACTCACTTTTTAGCTTTCAGTCACATCTTGTGGCCTTCATCAGTAAATGAATGGCTCAGGTGTCCTTTCTCCAGGGTGTACCAGCAAAGATCTTCAGGTGCTCAGTCCTTGTGTCTTGAAGGCAAGATGTTTTGACACCCACTCAAAGGAGTCACACTGGGATGCTTCTGGTGGTCCCTTTTGAGTTAGCAGTGTCCTTTGGTCTCAAGTTCAGATCGGATTTTCATCATCCACTGCTTGTACGTGTTGACTCGGTTTGCCCTTCAGATCTGCTTCACTTTCCCTTCAAAGAAACATATCAAGTGAATTTTTGGTGACACATCCAGTTACACAGTAAACCACTGGCCTACCACTGCCTTTACATTCAAATGAAATTATTGGGAAACATGCAGGAAGTGGCGTGGTATCAGCAGGAGTTTTACTCATCAACCTTCTTTATGCTTGCTTCTTTATTTCGGTAAAATGTACGCTTCCCTGTTCAAAATGAACTAGGACGTTAGAATTATTAAAAGTTCATTTTGTGTGAACATTTACATAAAAGCTGTTACATAAGAAACATGAATTATGTTTTTTGTAAACCTATAACTCGGTTCACGAACAAAGACCAGACCTTCACTCATCCCATTTCTCCACAAAAAGTACCTACCCTTTCATTCAGTTTTGACATCCCTCCCTGCAGACCTGTTTTTCCCCGTCTCTCTCTTTTGTCTGGAACCACTGGGACTCTATCCAAAAGTTCATGCAGAGACAGCTCCCCCACCCAGAGCCTTGACTCCCTGGGTTCCTATTTGTCTTCCCACCACCAGCTGACACCAGTCCATCTTTGTAATCCTCCATCCCTCTACCCTCACCCCCATCCCTGCATCCCTCATCCCTCCCTACAAACCCTTAATCAATCCCTCCTACATTGTCTTGGTTCTCCTCTCTCCATAATATCTGTAACTATTCTAAATCCATGGCTTTATTGGCAAGGTCTTTGATAGGGAAACATTCTTAAGGCAGACGGTTCATTTTTTGATTCTATACACACAAGTAAAAATTTAGTTTTTCCTTCCTGTCTTTCTTCCCACACACTGCGTCAGACTTTTGAAGGCGATTTTAGTACAGGATTTGATGGACGGTCTTGTTTGTAACAGTGCAGGTTAACTGTGGATGGCCAGTCAAAGAGCACTTAACAGCTCCCTGTTAGTCTTTAGTCATACACACAGGAAGTCCAATCACTGAACTCCTACTTCAGTCCGTTGGCTCCGTCAGCCTGTCAGAGCGGCGGCTCCACACTCAGATGACAACGGCTACATTAGCTCTTCACATTAAGAGCTCATGAATAGATTCAAATCTCTGGGATGATTAACTGGAGGATTCTCTCTGCTGCTTTTCACCCCACGCTGTCTTTATTACACCGCCATCAGCTTTAATGCATCACCTTCCTCCTTCTCATCATCAACATCTTTATCATCATCATCCTCATTATTATTATCATCATCAGCATCCTCAACATCACAGTCTTTACATCATCATCATCGCCATCATCCTCGTCACCGTCATCATCATCATCATCATCCTCGTCATCATCATCCTCGTCATCATCATCATCATCATCATCATTAGTGAGTCCTCATCCTCATTGTCATCATCATCATTATCAGTGAGTCCTCATCCTCATTGTCCTCATCATCATCCTCATTGTCCTCATCCTCATTGTCATCATCATCATCATCATCCTCATTGTCCTCATTGTCCTCATTGTCATCATCATCCTCATTTTCATCTGCTTTAGTCTTCCTAATGCTCATTAAATTGTCATCATCATCATCCTCATCATCTACACCATTAACATTATCACCATAATGTTGACTTTCCTCATTATTCATATGCCTTAGATTATTATTAACTAACAACCCTAGCAGATACAGTAGTATTCCCAGCTCTCACTTGTGCCAGAGAAATGCTAATGTCACTAAAGCAGCATTGCAATGAATAACACTTAAGCCACATAACAGAACACAAGAACAAAACAAAACACAGTGCCACATTTGCTTCTTGAGGATACAAAGCTCAACGTCCAATTGCAACTTGATGACAGAGCACTCTCTGAGGCTCTGATTTCTGGAAAAAAGGACATAGTTTTGTACTTGTGACTTTTCTTTTCTTTCAGTGAACCATTCCCCCCCATTACTGATGATTTGTGCTGATGATTCAACCACAAGAGATCCCTGTTCATCCAGATAATGGAAATCATCCAGCTGCTAGTTGTTTAACATAGTATGTGGGCAAAATGACAATGACTATTAATGCAGGAACCCTAGCCACAAGATATAAGGTGTTCATTTTATTTTGTCCATCATCTATACTAATGAGCCTCCCCAAAATCCTGAATTTAGTCTAATTAATACGACATTAAAAGACACAACAAAAGAATAAAGTAACTGAATATATCAGAATGAAAACACTTGTTTCTTTAGTCATCTTTGTGGTTTTAAGAAACCATACAGCTCCCAAATCCCTTTCTAGCAGGTTGTCTGGGCGGATCACCTCCCCCCTGAACTACAATTGGGGCCCTGATAACAGATCTTTTAATATTACTCTCTTCTTCAATATCAGAGGATTGTGAGGGTGCCAGGCAGGGATATTGAGTGAGAGCTAAGAGTTCCTCCCTTTCGGCTTGGCCCGGCATCAGAACTTATTAGACAGATAAATGAGAGGTGGACTTGCGTCGGAGCCCAGCCTCTTTCTGTGCCTGTGTGTCATTTATTCGTCCCCTGAATACCGGCTCAATCAGATAGCGGTCAGCCTTTCACGGTGGCTACCATCTCTCTGCATCTGTTGACCCGCTCTGGCACAGCCCGGACTAATGTGGGCCGCTTTGGTGGAACTGAAACAGTCGTTTCTCTTTCACTTTGAAACTGCTTTTGTTCAATTTGTCCCCCCCTCCAGATAAAGCTCCGATATAAAGGTCAGGCTGTGTATATGTGGTTCTGCCGCTCTATTTGGTGTTTTGTTCCCTGAGTTAAGACTAAGACTAAGAGTTTTTGACTTTGTACTACTGTTCCAGCTTGTATGATGTGTGATAAGAGGCTTGGTTTGCTTTGTTATCATACATGGATGGAGTGCAACGATATCCTTGCAGGGATGAAGAATAATAACTATGGTTTCTCCTCAGCTGACCCTTTGTAAGCTGCTATTCTGAGTTTGCGTGTACTCACATGGGTGTTTTGTTCAGACCCACTCTCAACTCAAAATGAAGTCCTTAAAAAAAGACACCCTTGACCAGTTTCCTGTAACCATGGTGATAGGAAGTGATCTCCAATCACATCTCAGGATTGTGTGTTAGGGAAGTGCACTGTTTCCTGCTGTTTTCACTGGCTTCCTCCCATTGGTGTGTCCTCTGGATTCTCCATTTGGTCCTGGAAAGCCACACAGTTCTTAACCAGTGCTTCTGTTTGTTTTTTCTCACAAATATGCCTACAACAACGCCATCAAATCAAAAAGTAAGTTACTTTTTTGTTAAAAAGTGTGTTCTTTCTTATATTTGCCCATATACAGTAAATACACAGTTCAGTATGTACCTCAGTTTTGTGGTCATGGTTTGTTATGTTTTTGGTACAGAGAGGGAAACAAAACAGAAAATAGCTTTTTTGTAATTTATTATGAAAAAATCGGAACATTCAACAGTGGCTCATTAGTCATAATTCTTACTATAATAAAAACTGTCTCCATGTATCCACAATAAGCTGGATGTCATTTAGGGGGCAGTTAAAGTTATAGATCCCTACTTGGTGAGACGTGGTAAAGATGCTGAAAACACCAAACTCATGATGGTGTGTTGTGTGCAGGGCAACAACTGTCTGTTTCTGCAAAAGCACCTGCAAGAGATAAGGTGAGAGGGTCAGAGTAGGGATGAATTGCAATGTTATTATCACAACCTGATTGCAATTTCATTCTGATATTTCCTAACTAATAATTCCGTAATTATGAAAAACTCTTCATTTCAAAATGTGATTTGCATAGACTCAATTTTAAGGAATACGTGAGGCAAAGAGTGACAACTGAAAACATATCACAAGTAGTGACTACGTGTTATTAGGAAGGAAATGCACTTAACACATATGTCAGGTCTCAAAGATATACACACTATATTTTAATGTTGTCTTTTAAAATGCCACCAGATGCCTTAAAGGTTTAGAATTTTAGATTCTATCACATTAATCACACTTAAACTGAACAACCTGAAAAGCAGTCATTTCACTGCCCTCTTCCATTAAAAGTTTAAAATCTGTACCTGAGACCATAATGATGTCACTGTGTACCAACTCAAGCTGGGGTACACTTGTCCATCACTGCAGCAAGGTGAGGAGGTCAGTAAAAACAGGATTGGGCTGGTGTTAATCAGTCCCTCTAGTATTTTGCTGGCTTTTTTGGGATTGTTGCACCCTAAGATGCCTGATTTCATGGGATTCATTCTAAAGAATTGCAATCTATGTTGCAGTATTTTTAGTTTAGTGTATCTTTTTTTTACAATAAAATGAAAAAGTGAAAATTGCAGAAATTCATAAAAGAATTAAAGGCATCGTTCTAGTGAGAATAAAACAGCTAGTAGCGTTGTGATGTATTGCTATATGTTTTGCACAGGGGACTGCTATGACTGTTGAAACTTGTGTATGAAATTTCAATGATTGATTAAATGTATGGAAAAGTTGCAGTGATGGGACAAAACTGCAAGATTGTGCAGAATTCACAGGGTTGGTTGAATTTGTGTTAATTGCTCCAATCGCAATGCCGCAACTTCCATGAGAGACTGGTTGGTTGCTCTGTTACTCTTTAAGTAGATAATGTCTTTTTACAGTGTTTGCATCCTAAAATAGCAGTCTTTAACACTGAATTGTGAAATAGATACAAAGACATAAAAAAAACAATACAAAGGCTTCATTTTGAAACATACTGTGATTGAGAACTTTTTATGTTACAGAGCAGAGACACTTAAAGCCATTTGAAGGAACTACTCACACATCTCAACATGGGGAAATAAGATTAGATCAAGCCTGAACCCTCTGGATCAAAACTGGCAACGATGCAGGTTGGTCTTCAGGTCACCAGCAGCACCTCTCTCCAGATCCCTCCTCAGCCTAAGATCTTGCTGGACACTGTTCAGCCCGTCCTGGTCCAGGCCATCATCAGCCCTGAGCAGGGTATGGATGGAACCCTCCAGACACCACGGCCCCCCAGGACCTGCAACTCACCTGGACCTGCTGGGAAATCATGCTGGAACTTGGACGTGAGGGTGGCCGTGCTTCTGGTGACTCTGGCTGGAGCTGTAATCCTGCTGCTGCTGTACAGACTCTTACAGCTGAGACACAGGTGTGTACATGTCACTGAGTAATAATAATAGTAATGATTTAACAAACCAACTTGATCCACATCCCAGTCTTTTGGATCTTTTTTTCACTCTGTTTACTGTTTCTACACAGATCTTCTTATATTCTATTAAAAGAAAATGTATGTCTGATTGGCTTGCAGTGGTAGCTTTCATGTATTACCACATGAGCTGGATCTGTCTCCGACCCAGGAGAAACAGGAACATGGCAGCATAACAGTTAGGCAACGTAAATATACGCACAGTGATGACCTTTGAAGGAACGCCGCTAGTATGCTACAATAGCTTCTTTCATTTTGGACTCTCTGGGAAAATTTAGTAGGTTGAACAGATACAGATAATGGTGTACTCGATCATCTCTAGCAGTAGCTTGAGGAGCCATGCTCACAGTGCTAGAGTGTTCCCAGCTACAGTCGTTCAGAGTCCTACATAGGTCCAGTTTTGCAAACCCGCACCCACACAGCTCAGTACTCGACCCATGATTAGACACATATTTTCACTTGCGTAGTTAGAAGCACAACAGTTCTGTTGCTACTCACGATTCCTGCTGCTGCGTCCACCCGGCCCGCAGGCACCAGTGCTAATTGAGCCCTGAATTTGCTATATCTCTACACAAACTTTACAGCTAACTGGTTTACAGTGTCCTTGTCTTCTCCTTCTGTTTTGGCAGTTTGACAGTTGTGTTCTTTGAAAAGAATATTGTTAATAGGTGCAGCACTTGTGCTCCTGCTACAGCTGTATTTTTCCTCAGAAAGGATGTGCGAGTTTGCAGCTTTCACAATAAAATATTTTAAAAAATAATGCAAAGACAAATTTCGCTGTGCCACTTTCTGTTGTGACCAAGCTTTTAGGCTTTAGATTGAGCCAGGAGAGTTGTCTCCCACTGCCTTCAGTCTTCATGCTAAGCTAGCCTAACTATTTCCTGACACCAGCTCTCTACTTAATGCAAGGATATGAGATTTAACTCAATATATATCGATTCTCGGCTTACCCGAAATGTTGACCACATTTTTTTTTTTATCTCAATGAGAGTTTCACCTGGTTAAATAAAGGGGCAAAAAAGAAAAAAACCCTCATTTGTGTTGTGTCCTGCAGGCTGAGGTTGGCCAGGGCGAGGCACGCTCTGGAGTACTATAGCTTCTTCCACACCGCCACCTATACACTCAAACACCCTGCACCACGCCAGGACCCGACAGCCAAGAACGGGACGGTCCCTGAAGCTGCTTCGCCTGTCCAAACCGTTACCCCGGTCATCCCCACTGTCATCATCCCACTTCCTCCCCCACCTGTGTCTTCTCCACCCCCACTGCCGCTCCCCCCACCTCCTGTGCTGTCTCCACCACCGCTCCACACTCCACCTTCTCTCCCTCCAACACCTCCTGTCTTGGCCTTTCCGCTGCCCCTGCCTGTGATCCACACCACCCCGCCCAGCCCTCACTTGTCGTGGGGTGCCTGCTCGGACGCAGATGTTTACTCTCGGATTGGAGCTTTCAGACCGTCCAGGCTCTCCAGCCTCTCCAACCACTCCAAAGTCATCCTGTTTGAACACTCGTCTCTCTGATTTGTGATGCAGAACATGACTGGAGACGTCTGCGTTTGAGAAGACTGCAGTGATTACCCAAACCCCTTTCCTCTAATGGACTGATAATCATCCGGGTACTATTAAGTGTGACTATTAAGGCATAGACAAATATTTGTTCAGATACTTTCAGGTCTTTCAAGAACTCAGGTTTGAGTTTTCTGAGGCACTGAATTGATTTATCTACTTTGCTTTAAAGTACCAAACTGTGTGCCAGACCTCTGCAAGAAAATTGCAGTTTGGAATAAAACATCTCAACTGTGATTATGTTTTGTTCCTCTGGAAAGTGTGGTTGTCTCTCAATTCAGACTGCGTGACAGGCCCACTGTTTCTTTCCCTGAAGAACTGTTTCAAACCTGTGTCTATTCTAAAACTTTTGGAGGTATAAGAAAGTCAAACTTGAAGAAAGACTCGCTTTTGTATGTCATGTCCTTCACAACCTGGTAAGTGCTCATCATTCAGAGCCTCACAATCTCCAGGATCATCTTCAGAGATTTATTTTCTAAATATATATTGTAAATAGCAACTTTGTCTATTGATATTGACATTTTTACACACTGTAAACACTTGGAAGTTGATAAAACTAAAAATGTTAAGGCATCAGCCTATCAATATTTAGCTTATAGAGTAGATGGTTTGAGTTAAGTCATATTTTACATCATCACAATGCAAAACTTCCACTTAAAGTCAGCTTAACTTAAGAAGAAATAAGATACAAGTTCACCCAACAACTGTTATCAAAGTGAGACGTGCATCCCTCCCAAATAAACAGATATATCATGCTTGTTAGAGATCTATATTGCAAATACTAATAGGGCTTTTAAAAGAAAGAAATGAGATGTGCTAGCATGGGATGTCAAGATGTAGTTGTAGGTGGTTTTCAGCCTGCGGTTGAAGATTGTGCTGCCTCCCTAGTAAGGAACAGGCAAATCCTCATGTTACAAAAGGGAAAGCAACGACAGTTACTAGTAATAGTAAGATAATGTCAAGACTGATCCCTCCTGTGCTACACCACCTAATACAGTAATGACAGACGCTCATTTGGCTTCTAGAGGAGATTTAGATGAGAAGGAATGAGGTGAGGTGAGGTCTAAGCAGTTGCCAGGCAACCAATGGAGACTCCTGGAAGTTACTGGGTGGTATAACCCTGGATAAAATGACAAATTGTTGCTTTACTTCAGCTTTTGAAGGGATTATTCAAACTAGTGAGCTTTTGAGGGGCTGGTAGGTGGATTTTGTTCCCAAGCTATCTGTTTCCCCATTTCCAGTCTTTGTCTTAGCTAGCTGTGTTCAACGGACTGTATGAGAGTGCTATTTCTCATCTACTGTCATTCTCCACAGAAAGCTAATAAGTGTATTTCCCAGCCAGAATAGAACTTCCGTTTTAAGTTACTAGACTGAAGTCATGTATAGAAGCTTTGAATTGGCTCTTAATGTGAGAATGAGTCAATTTAAGTGACAAGTGAAAAGTGACAATCATATCCAATTACAAACAAGTTAAAAATAAAAGATTTTTAGAAAGAGAGTTAATGAATTCAATTGGTTGGTGATTAATTATATGATTATAATTAGTTTTCCACAACTAAAAAACTCAAGTTAACAAAACTTGTTAGTGCATTGCATCCACATATTTAAACTGTGAGTCCTAAATATAGATAGCAAGAGAAAAGTTTATTTTTCTTATATAATACACAATGTCTTCATTTTTACAGTGTAGTTATTGTAGCAGAGCCTATTGTTTCTTCAAACAGGAGGCATTTCCTGAGCTGGTTTTCCATGGCAGGGTCCCTTCCTGTTTCACAACATTCTCTCTGTTTCCCCTGACACTCTCTCTCTCTGTATCAGTCTCACTTTGCATTTCATTTACTTACAGTATTAAATTATAACACTGAAGTAGTTTCAGACATACATTTGAAATTGGCCATATTCAACACATTTAAAATCATAGTACAACAACACTTATCAAAGATATAATGGGTACAAGAACCACTGACCAGACAGATTGATCATTCTCTGAAGTTGCCCTGTGGACACTCTGCTACCATCTGTCTGTTGTTCATATACTAACCTCTGCATCCACCTTGGCCCTAACAAGCTGTTAAGATACATTTTCACTCAATATTTAACCATGTTTTCTCAATTGTCCTCTCATTTATAATTCAGCAATGGTTTATAAATTCATGTGGGAATCTGTTTGAGTCGATGGTTGTTTCCTCTCCTGGGAGAAAACTGAGACCTTGCGTGAAAGGCCTCTTTAGTCTTTTCTGTGTCTAATTCTGCTAGTGAGGCCGCGGTCTCCATACTAAAAGCCAGTTAATTCAATCTGTGCATGTACTGCAGCATTGTCTCTTAATTGGTTGTAAGCTGGGCAGGAAAGGCATTTGTAACTATACACTGCTGCAGCAATTAAATAAAATGAGGCAATGTCATGCAAGGATGAATATGAATGGGTTTGTGTTCTGCATCTGATTGATATTAATAGAGGTTTTTCATCTCAAAATGTTACAAATCTATTTCAGAATGCCCATAGTAATGCTTCCTACAGTGGTAAAAAAATATATACATTCGGCAGCAGGTTGGTGTTACATTTTTAGATACAAGCTTTGCACTTTGTTGCACTTTGTTGCATTTAGTTACTTGTTTTATTTTATGCTAGCTTGATTCTTACTCTTGTATTACTTCTCCACTTTTGTATCGCAATTGTTGCACAGCAGTTTCCCTCAGGATAAATAAAGCTTCTTGAATCTTGAATCTTGAATCTTGAACATGTGCATGTTTAATATTGTGAATTAAACTGTTTTTTGACCTTATGGAGCCCAACCTCTTGCTCACAGCATGACCAGTGTCTTACAAAGGCAACCACCTGCAAATGTACAGTTGCCAATAGATCATTAGCCTGTTCAGCAGGCCTACTGCCCCTCCAGCTGGCATTGGAACAGGATTTGAAAACCCTTTTAATAAGAACAAGAGAATATATAAGGACAAAATGTGCTCATTCAGGATCAAATTTTATGAAGAGCTTATAACTCCCATTAGACTTTCCAAAATTGAGGACAATTATCCTGACCAGTGTTGGTAGAAGCAGAGGTTCTTCCTTACATCTGTTGTGGAAGTTAGTTAGCTAGAAGTGACCAGAATTTTTCACCAGTACACTCATTTCTTACAAACCTTTGTGTAACGCTGGGATGTCTGTCTGCAGAAAGATCTTTTTGATGAACTGGAAAGAGCGCAGACCATCATGCTTTGCAATAAGCCGTTGGTCTGACGTCTATCTATTGTCAGCGGTTTTGATAAAAGCCTTGGAGCAGCCACTGGAACTTCATTGAAACACACCATCAGAGTATTGCCCCATCACTTGTTCTGTATGTACCTCATCCCCTTCCTTAGTGTCTTTTAATTGTTTGTGTTATTATATTATATTATATTATATTAATATTTTTGTACAAGTAAACAAATGAGATCTTAATAGCAAAAATGGTTTACTTCATGGAGCCCAGCAGTTTGTCCCCAGATAGAAGGAGTGTCCTCACAATGTCAGTGAGTGAACAGATAATTGTCCCACCCCATGATTAGCAGTCATAGAAGCTATAAAAAAGGAAACAACTACAGTTATATCACTCATTGCCTGCGGGTGGCACTAGTGTAAAAATGACTTTGTCATCGGGTGGCACTAGTGTAAAAATGACTTTGTCATCCTGTAGGTGGCAAATGGTAAAGAGATTAGTGTATGACCCGCTCTAACTCATAAGCTACACCCACAGGTGACATCAGCCGCTGGGGACATCAACTTGTGTAAATCTGCAGATGCAAATGTCTGATATTAACTGAGCTCGGGTTCAGAGCGTCACATTAATTACACAGTGTGTCCTTGTTCCTGAAATGTTTTGTGTGGAACAGACTTGACTGATAGTGGACGGTCTGCAGGATCATAAATCTGACCCCGACTCCCTTTAAATGACTGTTTGTCCCAGAAGCCCTTGACTCAAAGTGCAGATTCTTGGTAATTGCATCTGTCCTTTTCTCATTTTCTAATCTCTGCCTTCACAGTAAGAGGAAATGGTCATTGTAAGCATTGCCCTCAGTTTCATCACCTCTGCATGATACCAAAAAAAGTGTTAAACAAGTCGTATAAGTGAAGGATGAAAGTATGCAACTATCAAAACAGATTGTGTTTGGTCTTCCGGGACAAAACTTCTCAAAGAAAATCATTAAGATCTTAAAAGTCAAGTCTGCTCGTGACTTAAATGAAGAAATAAGGTATGTTCAATTCTGCTCACAAGACCTGAGAAACATGTTAAAGAGCAGTCACTTGAATCGCACATCTAGGCAGTATGTTTCAAATTTATTTATGAATTCTGTTAATACATTATCCCGCTAATTACTGTATGAAAACACATCTCCTGAGGCAAGAAATTCAAGTATAAAAATGTAAAAAGATTATTTAAATATTTACCACAGCCAGAACAAAATGTAATGAATTGATCATAGCATTCATACATCATTTTAAACATAAAATAAAACAAATTTTTCCAAATATTCCATATACACATCCTATATATTATCTACCTGTTGTCTTGATCAAATCTGTGTCTAGTTTTCTTTCAAAGTGAAAAGCAAAGTAGATGTATGCTTACTGTGAGCAAACCCATCAGTGATGTTCTGTATGCAGGCTCTGCAGACTACAGATATTGCTGCATGGGCAGCGTGCATATGCAGAGGGAGGAGGACGTCCTTCTCATACAAATGAAGAAATGTATTGGAGAGTTTGGAGGGCTGCATTCCAGAAGTCTCTATAACAATTTCTACTACTAAGAAGTCTATTACTCAGTGTTTGCTGCCTTGTGTGAAGCACTTTGTAACGTTAGTTTTGAAAAGTGCGCTATAAAAATATATTACTGTGACTATAACAGAGATTAGTAGAATGAAAACCCCAGAGGAGCTCTTATTCTTCATCATTCTGACAAGTCCATCAGTGCTCGTCTCTGTTAGTCATCCATCCTTCATGGGAGCAGTCCCGCTGGTCCAAACTCAGAGTGATGGAATTAGGCTGCAGCTGAGGGAAAATACTACTGTTCACTCCAGGACGCTTGTTGTGTTGATGAGGGGACAGTAAGTGAGAACATCCCGAGCTGTCTGTTCTCTGCTCTAAACTTCATCATCGACACTGACCTGTATCACAGCTAAACTCTAGTTACAATTCAGCAATTCAACCACAAAATTAGTTTCTCCAGCAGACCACCCTGATTTTGATTTAATCAGGAGGACCTTATTTTCCAACCTGGTCTCCTTTCTAAGTTGCCAAATACGCAGCTTGGTCAGTGTCTTCTGCTTCAAAAACTAACTAAAAGATAACTTAAAAATAATAAAAATATATTTTTTGTCATATTTGCAGAAACTTTCACTACATCCTGACAGTAGTGTATGAGACAGATAAACTTTTTTTTTTTTTTTTTTAAACTTCCTCTGGCTCCTCCAAGTACTCCTAATTATATTTGCAAGAATACACAGGGCCTGAATGAAAACAACCAATCAGAGCCCAAAAAGACAGATGATTGTTGAGTCTTATTCCCAGAGCGTTAAATGAAGATGCTTTAGGACCCTGGGAATGAGACTCTGCAATCAACTATCTCAAGCCTCCAACCCAAAGCGTCTTTATATCTTTCTTGGCTCTGATTGGTGGTTTTCTTTCAGAACCAGTGGATTCTTGCAAATGCCATTAGGAGCACTAGGAAGAGGCAGAGGAACCTGATTTTTTTCTCAGATTATATGTCTCATGTTCTACTGTCAGGATATAGGGAAAGTTTCAAAAATATGAGAAAAAATGTGTTTTATAAAAGTTACCTACTGCAGCTTTAACTCAGAAGGCAGCTGTTTTTTCAGTGTACTTAAGTTACGACAGGTGCAAAATGTAAACTTTTCCTAAAGCTTTAGCTAGGTTTTGTGCCTAAACCTAACCAAACTGGGACCATTCCACAGCGCTAACCACGCAAACTTTATTAGTAGTGAGAACATGTTGTATTTTCCTTTGTTAAAAGTCGGTTCCCTAAAAATGTTTTATGTGATTTAGGTGAGTCAGCCAACATCGCTGATGTTTTTTCCTACTGTTTCTACAAAGTAAAACAAGACAACATATTTTTTCAGTCTTGATTGCTAGAGTTATAGCAGTAGCTGTAAAATCTTGAATTCTGTTGGAAAGTTACCCTTACCCTTAAATTCCCTTAGCACTTTTGTACCTGAGTAACTTTACAAATAAGTGACATAAAACTGTCTGTATAAGAAAACTAAAATGTGTTCTGATACTGACACTACCATAGAAGCATTAATGTCATTTAAATATTCCAACATACAGCAGATGTGCTCTCATTACTCAAATGTAGAAAACAAATTATTGAAACTATTGGCAAACATTTCATAGGTCAATGTGAGACGTGTGAGCAGTAGTCAGTAGTGACTGCAGCACTCTGTACTGTAGAGTTAAGTTAATAAAAAAAGTGTGTGTGGCACATGAAAATATCACTAAGCCCTGCCTTGCAACAGTCACCACAGTTTCTTTTAACAGTCTCAGCAGTTTCTTATAGACCTTTTTCACAGCAGCCACATGAAATAGTAAACACAGGTGTTACCAATGACTGTTCCATTTAGTGTAGCAGTGTCTTTCCACTGACCTAACATGCTCTGTTTGAGTGGAACAAACCTTAATTAGTTTCATTGGTAAAACTTTACCCTACTATGTCATGTCAGAATTGCTGCTGTGAAAAAAGTCTATTATCAACAAATAAAAGACCAAAACCAACGATGCGTTATTGTGCATCTTGCTGTGTTCCCTAGCCCTGTCTGTGGAACTCAAACCCAAACCCGTTAGTTCAACAGTTAACAAATATTTAGTTTCATTTTAAAAAAGGCAAAGCAATTTCCTAGTTCTCACCCAGTGTCAGCTGGCAACAGCTCCAGCCCGTTGTGTTCTTTTTAGCAAACATTACTCAAAAAGGCGTAAATAGTGCTTTTATTGTGGACTATTTTCAGAGGTGGATTGATTTAATTCCCTATCGATGTGGCTCATTGGTTTGTTTTTAATAGTTTTTAGACAACAATGGACCCCTGTGGAGGAAAAGATTTATCAGGCTTTAGCTTGACAGACAATGATTTATTAACAGTATGAAAAATATAGAATATTTCCAGGCTTATCCTTTAACACAGCAGGATACAGAACTTTAGTAATCGCTTAATGACAATGACATAAAACTCAGACAAATTTCAGATAGAATTAAAGTCAAAAATCTTGAAAGTTTGAACAACAAAACTAGACCTCCAACTTCAGAATGTGTCTCACTAGGTTCAGACAGTCGGATTTAAAAAGGCAGATGGGAAATGTCATGCACTGATCCATCCTTAATAACTGAATGAGGACGTCTGGATATTGCTCACACACACACCTTGCTGTTTTCGCTGTGCTTTCAGCATGTTAAAATGTTGTGTTATGCCCTTTGTATGCAGTCATGTCTGCTCTATGAGGGATGCAAACATATGACCAAGCTGTTCCTAAGGCCTGTTCAGACAGAACGTTAAGCGATTTCTTACAAAAATCAGTGGAAAGAGACAATAATTTGCCCGGTACGGCACAGACTGAGGCTGAGACACATCCACATGGAAAATGTTTCAGCTGCAGCTCAAACTGTTGGTCCCTTCAGAGGCTTTTTTTTTTTTTACAGTCATTTTTTTTGGCCTTTTGTTGGCTTTATTGATAGACAGCT